ATATCCGCAGTAAATGGACTGCAAATGGATTTTCTTATTGCTGTGATATGAAAGTCAAGTATAAGGACCAAACTCAAGTAAAAAATTTTACATTTATAAATATATTCAAGAAACAAGGGTGTCCTTATCGGATGGTCAGACAAAGTTTCAGCCATTGGCCTCGACTGTCAGATGCCTACGAACCGAATTATTGATGAGCAACTTCAGTTCGACAAAAGTGCTGAAGCTCACACGAGAGCGCCAGCAGTTATGCTAGCAGGCAGAATATAGTTAACCATTTGTGCAAAATAACGTCTGCAATTGATTGACTGAGCATATTTCTGTTTTATTTAATTTCACCAGATATTTGTCTGCCACTTTTGGATATTTTTGATTTATGTTTATTGCTTTGCTTAAGTGTAGCTTTAATTTAGAATTGATGAATTGCTTAATATGAATCATATTTTTTTAAATTACTGAATTTATGTAATTTAATAAGAATACCATGAGTTATTAATTAAAGGGGAAAAAGCTGTACACAAAAAAATGAATTTTATATTTATTATTAATTTAAAATGAGATTTTATATATTCTATTTAATTTATGTATAGATGTGCTGTATACGTGCAAGTTTTGATAAGATTTCAATCAAATTTTTAATTTAGCAAATTATTTGGATATTCCTATTAGTTATAACAAACAACATTATTCATATCTTTCCATGGTACATCTGACAGTATTGGATTCTTTAAAGAAAATAACAGTTAATTTTATGACTAAAGAAATGGATCTACTACATCTATTAAGTCATCATTCTAATATTGAATTTCTTCTAAATTAAACAGGTTCAACATTTATTAAACGCTATATATTGTAAAGTGGCAAACCTTAAAGTCAACACATGATGTCTTGCATGACAGTTATATTTGATATATGTCACATCAATTCGTGATTTATTTACTGCCCAATTGGAAGAATTACCCTGTATTAATAGGTTGGTAATGAACTTACAAACTTTGTGACCAACTTTAATGAAATTTTTAATGAAACATTTTTGATTGAGACAAGAAAGTTATAGATTACGTTTGAGCTGAATAAGTAGGGCAATGTAATGAAAAATACTACTTAAATATATATATTCAATTAAAACTTCTTATATTCTTATGACTGTGTTAATATAATAAAAAAAAAAGTTAAATTTTTTTAAATTTTATTTAAAACTAGGTGACCCCGCGAACTTCGTACCGCGTAACAGTCAATGAATGATATATTAAATTTTAGGTTCATCAGCGATCGAATTTTGTGCTTGAATACACGTGCGGTGATGTCGTGCCGATCACTTGATGTCTGTCCAGGAAGCAGCATTTGAACAATTTCTTTCCATTTTGGATTACACGAACTAATTTTTTTGATAGTTTCCTCACCTGATTTAAAAACAGTAAAATTAGTATCTTAGAAGTAAGACTCACGTCTGTATTCTGAATTGAAAACTATGATGTTGATACCCACCATTCAATGGGTTTATCATTTTTATATTAAAGTGATATCAATCATCTCCTTGCCAAAATATCAGTGGGTATTGCAACGTGTCATATGAACGGTGTGTTTCACATACTTGTTGCAGTTGCCCAGTATCGCGACGTGTAAGCACAATATCGCGTGTGTTCAAGTTTTCTGGATTAATAATTTATCGGACTCTTTCTACTCCTTCAGTAAACACTTCACAGATACATCCTGAAAAAACTGAAACTTAACAAACAAGAAAACAAAAAAATTACAACAATATTAAACAATAAACAAACAAAAGATCAATAAAAGTAAAATTGCTAATAGCATGTCTCTGACGACCGCGACTGTTTATGGAAACGACTTTAGCTGCGGGCTATAAGGAGCGTGGATTAATATAAAAATAATTGAGAGCACTTCTTTTTCTTTTTTATATATTCTTAGATTTAAAAAAGTATTAGTTAAAAAACTTAAAGTAAAAGTCATACTGAAACTAGTTTGACCTGTGATAACAATGAAATAAGAACAACAAGATGTCTTACTTTACCTTTCAGTATACGTACATTGGTGATAAATATATTATTAGTAGAAGCAATTGCTGTTAATTTAAATGTTAAAACTAATAGTTAGACTTCATTTATGCGCGGTGCAGACTATCATTTTTGAGTGTCATTCAAGAGAGAAAATCTATGAATGACACTCAAAAATGATAGGCTGCACCTTTGAATGACACGGAACCAAGATGTTGGCGTGCTTACCAAAATTTTGGTGTTTCTTGAATACAGATATGGAGTAACTTAAATAATTCACATACCTATTCACCTATTTTTCATATTAGTTTTTAAAGAAATTATGGAGTTAGATATTCACTAATCTGCTATATATTGTACTGACGTATTACTGTATGAGTTGGTTGTGTTCAAAATATCTTAACTTCGTTTCCTCTAACCTTTAAACTGAATTTTGTATGGAAAAAAACATTTTAATTTCGCTAAAACGATTATGAAATTCAGATTTTTGCGGAATTAAGGTGTCTCTGAACATAGTAAAAGATTGTATAAATATTAATTTTTAATTATGAGGCGACTTTAACTCTCTGTAGTTTCAAAATTTCAAACAATAAATAGAAATATACTTAAATTCATTCTTTTTGATCTCCCTCTTCCTTAGTTGGTTCAATAATTTTATTGCCAAAAATTTAATATTTTATTCATGGAGTAATATCCTTATGCTAATGACGTTGCTTGGACGTTTGTGGTTATGTGTATTTGGCATCGGCGTCCTTTATTTTTTATATTATATACTTTTTGTTATCCTTTTTTACAGCAACAATTGCTTTGTGTCCTTATAATTTAAGCTGTTATTTTTACTGACATTCTTGATTGTTCTTTCTTGTCCGTGGATATGTTGTCCTCGTTAAGAAGCGCAATTGTATGCTTGTTGCCTGTATAACCTATTTTTAATATTTCTACTTCAGTTTTACATTATGTTCCCTTAAAAACATTTGCTTTTATTTGATACTCTGCATGTCAGTTTTATTTATATCTACACTTTTTTTAATATTTATTACATTTTCTTTAAGACATGGATAAGAAATTCAAGACAAGTTCATGCGCTTAACGATTGGTAGAGAGAGAAGATGAGGGTTGGTTTGTTCCATACTTGGTTTGATCTTATGAAAATTGCATAGAAATCTGTTTATGGTTTACTTAACCTGTTGTCATTTCTATAATATTATATAACTATAATGCATCTGCATATTTTTTGTAATTTACATGTATTTTTAATACATTTATTTTAATACTAATAATAATTTGTCGAAAAAAACTATTAAACAAAAAAATATGTATCTGTGAATGGTCCTTTATAAGAAATACTGACTAACAAAATTAAAGTTTGTGATACGTTATGATGGTAATTTTAAGAGGTCATTTTGATTTTCTTAACTATAACGGTAAGTTAAAATAGTTGAGGTAGATACAATATTATTTGAAACTATCTACTATTTATGTTAAATATTAAATAAGTTGTGTTATTTATTATTTTCATTTACATAAATTAATATAAGCGTTTTATAAATGCTTGAAACCTTTCCAAAACAAAATGTGGAATCGGAAACGACATTTTAAGGACAAAATAATAATGGACCACTTTTTAAACAAGAGAACTGAATTTTACAATATTTTTTAACACTTTATTGATTTAAAAATATAAAACATTTTTGAATGAATATAATATTTACATTTTATCCTATGTTTGCTCAATGTAAATCTAATTTAAAAGCTACTAATTTCCTAACTAAATAGAAAAAGTGCGAGCAATAATTATAACCTCCAGTCTAAGTCAAATGGACTTTAATATGTTTGTTTAATAATTCGTTCTCAAAATGTGCAGTAATAATCAATATCAATATCAATAAAAATATCATTCCTAACTTTAATATTTACAATAAAAATTTATTGTTATGAAATGAAATCAGTGCAGAAGCAAATAAAACCAATTTCCATTTATCATTTTATTATTTATGATGGCAATGCAGACATTTTAAGAACTGCAGCCTTTGACACATAATTTATTCGTCATAAGCGAAACAATTAACTCATTTACAACTTTTCTTTTATTTTCATATAAAAAATGGATTATTCTGCGATACCGTATACCGCTTCATCTCATAATACTGACACATTTCAACACATTTGGAACCGTCAAATCAACCGCCTCTTCGAAAAAATTAATAATTGCCTCTGCAATGCATAATGCCGCTAAATTTAACGTCACCTTTTTTATGCAATGCTGCAAATGAAATACATTTTTTACTTGCAAAAATTTCGATACGGTAAAAATGTTAATAAATTGCAATTCTGAAACTGAAACTGGAAAAACCGAATTACACAAATAATAAAAATACTTCCAATAACTCTAACAACAACGTCAATAACGATAATAACGGCAACAACGGGAAACTGCACATGACAAATTACAAACGGAAATGCAATTTTCAACATGGAAAAACGCGCAATGCAACGCGGTCGCCATCACTATGAACAATCTCTGCCTCGACCAAACTCGTACCAAAAATGAATCTCGCTGCACCGATACTATCATCCCGCTGCATCTTTTTTGCTGCAATTAAATGCAATACTGCCTTTAACCAACGAAAATAAACCATGAATTCAAAAAATTAATAAAATGAATTGCGTCTTACTTGCGGCATTCATTAAAAATTGAATGCGACCATTTCGCTGTGCAACATTTATCTCATGGGCACATCGTACTCTTGCCTCCACTGCAATGACTTATCTTCAATATGGGTGCTTTCAACTCACCTTTAACACAACATAAATAAATGACGTACACCTGAAATATTTTCCATATCTTTATCGTGTTTTCTTTTGAACAACTTTTTGTCATGTTTTTGTCAACCATCTTGCATTATGCCTGGTGCCACATAATTAATATTTTAAATTCTAACCATTTTAAATATTTTTTGCATGCAATTGTATCATCCATTATAGCCGAAACAGCAAATCAACCAGGAAAGACAGCGACCATTGAAATGTACGCTCCGAGTTCATACAACGACACTGTAACTGGAGAAACCTTGTCGAGTGTGTCTGAAAAAAGTGAATCCTACTCCAACGAAGGCAGTCAGCCAGAGTATTTAGTGAGTTTATATTTATTGTAGTAGAAGTTGCTATCATTAAGTAAATGAAAATATTACAAGATTTTTTCTTAAAAAAAGTCTAAATTCAGAAGCATTTTTTGATGCTTTGATGCTTTGATGCATTTTCATAATATTGTATAAGATTGTATAACATTGTTGATGCATCTGCATAGTGCATCTTTTTATGGCAGCAGCATTTAACAGCAGTTATTTGTAATTTGATGAAGTAATGGGGAGTTGAGTCCTACAAATTGGTGTCATAGACGTTTGAATAGTTTGCTTTGAATATTTTCCGTAGTTGCCCAGATGTCTTGCCTATTGTGATAGAAAGTTTTTGAAGGAGTTAAAAAAATCAGAGAAAACATTTTTTTACTTTAAGTTATATTTCTTTCATTTAATTATCCAGTTAGAATTACATTCAATGCAATCAAGTTTTTGCAGCAAAGTTATATAGGGAAAACGTTATTTACATAATTAATTTCACATTAATATTCAGGGTTCTTAAATAAAAAGATTGAAAAGTTAAGAAAGCAAAATAATTGAAAGATATTTTACAGAAAAAAGTAAATAAAAAATAAAGAAATCTATTCGAAAACAGTAGATAATGCCGACTTGGCCTAACATAATTTATGAAAGCATATTTATCCTCCAAGCAATTATCCTTGGTGCAAATAAAACTGACGACACAAAAATGAATTTTTTACAAATAAAAAATTAAAGAAAAAGTGTAAAGCAAAAGCACATAAAATAAAAATTAATGATGAAATCTAGTAAATAGTGAGATAAATAAAGCAAGACATCAGAGATATAAATGCGATAAATGCAAAGAAGGAAAATAATAAGATAGCTTTTGTTTTGTCGAATTTCAAATAAGGTTCACACTGAGTTGTTGATAATTTACTTATAAAACTTTTTACGCTTATTTTTACATGTAAAATAAATAAAGTATTTTATTTATTTGATGGGGTAATGTTAATGTGTGAAAAATATTTATTTATCACAATAAGTGGATTATACAACAATATTTGTTATGCATATCGGAGTCTAAAGCAATTACCTCCACTTTTAATAATAAAACATATTATAATTTACTTTATATTGATTTCAGTTTAAAAAGTTTGGTATACGGAAAAACGGAGACAAAGAGAAATACTTTGTCTCCTTTGTCTCATAATACTTTATGTAATATAGTTCCCATTATCTTTTATACATGCATTACATGCATTACAAATATCTTAGCAAATTTTATCTGCTATTTTTATTTCACTTACCTTTTCGCTATAAACATATAAAATAACAGAATACACGCTTTAAATATTAATTTTATTAGCAGCTTCCGATCTAGATAGATTTTTAATTAAAATTAGACTTCATGCATTATCTTCGGTCACTATTTTAGCATAAATTCTCGAAAAGCAACAACAATGCGCAAACCTTAGCATAAGCATTCGAACAAATACATTGGATCGGCCGCAATCATTAAACTAACTCAACAACCTAAAATGGTGCTATTAGAAGATGTAGGAGATAGGCGGATAAAAAAAGCAAGCGAATAAATAAACAAACAGAAGACAAGCATTTAACGCGAAGTACGCTATTTTTGCAATTAATCATTTTGAGTTTATCTGACATGCCCCGGAACTAACAAATCGCTTCAAATTATTAAATTTATTTACATATTATCTTAAACTTAAGCATTTCTGCTAAATAAACACGCATTTCGCTGCTCAGTACATCAGCTTAATGGGCGCTGTAAACTCAAAATATAACTCAGAAGATGCAGCAATTGTTGGTAACAGCAATTGGCAATGTTAAGAAGCCACGAAAATTTGTTTGTTCGACTGCTGGTAATGCTGTCGCCATTGCCTTATAAATGGATAGCATTAATCTGAACTAAAATTCCTTATTCCAAAAGTAAAACTTTCAATTTTATTTGCATGTGTTTTAAATTTATAAATTGAGTGATTTAATAACAAAAAATCTAATCGTTCTTGAAGAAATGAAAAAAAATGACAAGAATAAAGAAGTCACTATTTCAAATATTGATAGTATATTTAAGCATTTAATAAAAATAAAGAAAATATTCATACAATTTTTCTAAATCTTTAATACCCTTTAAATGCTGGTTTTTAAAGAAATGGTTTATATGTTGGTACTACCAAATATTGGTCAAGCAACTCTCAAAATGTATGTCTTACATTAAATCCGAAACAATTGAATTTATCAATAATAGCACATTTTAAATAATAATAAAAATGCTACATAACGGATTTAAGTCGTTTTTTTCTTTTCCATCCTCAAATTTCATCTTCCTGGATTGACAAGAAGTTTATAAGAAAATTTTGTTCGATTAACTTTAGGAATTAATACTGAAATAGCAGACAGATATGCAGTAAAATGAATATGAATCGTTTTGTTATATCGACCTAAACAACACTGTATTCGTCCGTCACTTCTATATGGATGTGCACAAAGCCAGGCTCTGAGAAAACTTTTCAAAGTACCATGGTACATTAGGACGAAACACATCCTCAGGGATCTCAATATTGATCCCATCAAAAAATATATAAAGGATAGAGACCTGAAATTATTTGCGAAAACTGACAGACTTACCAACACCGCGTTATCAAATCTCAGAATGGTTACATGCTCATCGGGAGGTATGCAGATCTAAGGTCAATTATTGCTTAGTCTGATGAAGTGATAAACAATAATCCAGTCAAGGTGTAAAGAGGGGTTTTGAAAATATCTTGAGTTAAGAAAGAGTAAAAGTGCTCAAGTGCACTGGCTCAAATAACTTCAACATAATAATAATAATTATTCCATTTTATATTTTTCACAATATGAGATAAAATATTTGTCCATTCCTTGGTCCTGATTTGGCAGCACTGCTTCAGTGATATATTTTAAACAGAATTGCCATTCAAGCTATCATATATTAAGCTAAAGGTTTGTCATATTATAATATAGATCGTGTAACATTCACTGAATTTACTAAAATTGTACAGACATACTACAAGTATAGTAATTTTATGGTAGGAACATTTCACATTCACAAGTAGTGATGGAAAGATTATAGTATTCACGAGAAGTCACTATGTGGTATGATATTTGGTGTGCAGTAATCATAGGACAGTACTTTTTTTAAAAAGGCCGATTATATAACAATAACTATCAAATCTGATCGCTTTATCCGGCTTAGCTCTTTCGCCTGTGTTATACTTATTTATATTACAATATTAGTAACAAATTTATTTAAGTACCAGTATGGATACGACATTAATACATCATTCGGAATCTTCTCCTGATTTTATTTTGCTAATAGCCTATTCTATTATGCTCACCTAAAACTCAAACACTTCTTAAGATCAATACTAATTAAGATGCAATGGGCATTCTTCATAGGTCCTATTTCTGATTGTGTTTCAATGTTATTTTAACGTTATTTTATTTCAAGTTCGTAACATCTTGGGTTATTTTCTATATAACCGAATTGACACAATTTTACTATCTTCAATTCGATTATAAAATGCTGACAAATGTTGGCAGTAGAAGGACAATAGGTAAAACTATATCACATTATATTAATTATACAACGAAGAAAAAACATGCAGCACAAGGGTAAAAACTGCTGATTTGCTAAAATTTCCATTTTAGTTGCTGCCAGAATCTTTTATCTTTAATTTTTTTTTTCATTTTCTATGTATTTTTTTATCTTAAATATGTTATTTAAATTCGTTTGCTCCGGTGCTGCCATTAGTTCTGTTAAAAGCCAAATAAATTATTTATTTCGTGTCACTTATACACATTTTTACGAAGTATCTTATATTTTTACAGCTCATTTTACCATTTTCATTTATGCATGAAATTAAACTAAGTTATGGCAATCTCTTTGACAGTACGAACTGATGTGTTGGCAACTTTCTTGCTGAAGTCATTAATTTTTGTTGTATGGATTAAAAATCGCAACTTCTCTTCTAAATAATAGTTCGGAGAATAAAACTTTAATGTAAATAACTGAAGTTTTATTAGGTAAATGTTAAGTTCAGTTGAGCAATTCGCCGCGTTATATGCGAATTTATAATTTAATTTTGCAGTGAAGAATGTGATTTCTATGAAAAATTTATGCATAGAATATCTATGCAAAATACACATATACACAAAGGCAATTTGTGCTTAATTTTCTGATATACAAATACAAAATACATTATACTATTATACAATTATACAATTCGCAGGCGGAAAGAGTGAGTGTTTGATAGCAAACGGTGCATATTAACGATAACAATTTTTTAACACATTATGTGTTCAGTGAATTTACTACAATTATAAAAGATAAAAAATGCTTAAAGAACAGGAGAAGTATTAATACTTAATGTTACCTGTCAGTTATCTAGCATATAAGCTTAAAAGTGCCAGCTTGTAGGTCCTTTTTAATGCATTGTAAAATGTATTTATGCATGTGTAATAAAAAAGGATTACGGTCTCACAAAAAATGAGCTTAGCCAAATACCCTAACCAATGATGTACCCAAAATAAGGATCAACAAAAAGGTCTTATTTAAACTGACATAAAAATGTTACAAAATATCCTTATTATTGACATTTGTGTTAATCCGCTTTCAAAGGATAACAACTCATTTGTGTGTAGCAAAAAACTTGGCAGCTTAATTAAAGCAAAGTAAAAAATGACTTGAAATAAACCAAAAAATTAATATGAAATTAAAAAAGGAAGAAAAGATTAAAATAAAACCTACCGAGTTAAATACCAAATAAAGAATGAAATTATGTTTACACTAAAAAAGATATGTGTATTTTGCACATATGACTAATATTTGTTGTATTTCACTCCTAGTTATCAGACTGATTTTCATTATATATATATATATTTTTTTTTTTTTTTCCTATTCCCATATTCCTAGAAACTTTTCTGATTTCTAGACATCATTTTTACAATTAATCATTATAAGCATAAAAACTTCACCCGAAAAATTTCTATTTGCTCAAATGGGTATATATCCGTAAATATATATATGTTGAAGAACGAGTATAAACAAAATCAAATTTCGTCTATGTTCCTGTGTAACACTGAAGGAGAGTTATGATATAAATTATTCTTTTCATATTTGCTTTAAATGTTTTCTGTTATAAGTTTTCTCTTTATACATTTGTTGCCTCTCCTGCATAATACAAACCACAAAAAACTTTACAATGAACAGATACTAACAGTTCCAGCAAATAAACCAATTAGAATTACATTGTGGCCGAAAGGTTTTCGGAAGTTCTCATTTAAAATTCGCGCGCTGTATATTTTTCGATATTTTAAGTTTATGTAGTTTGGCAGCACTGTCCTTAATTACTATGCCAAAAATGAGCGCGATCTGTCAGACAGTTCGTTTACGGCAGCTGTTGAAACCAGTTCACCTCAGTAGTGCGTTGCGAAAAAAACAATGGAAAAAAATATTGAACAAAGAGTTTGCATCAAATTTTGTTTTTCGAACGAAATTTCGTGTGCAGAATCGTTGCGAATGCTACAAAAGGCTTATGGGGAATCAGTTTTATCGAAAACTCAAGTTTATGAGTGGTACAAAGCCTTTCAGGACTGTCGTACGACCGTCGAAGACATGCCGCGTTCTGGACGACCTTCGACCTCTACCACCGACGAAAACATTGAAAAGGCAAAGGAAATCGTGTTCAAAAATCCTCATGTGAGTGTTAGAGAGATAGCACGAGAGCTAGGCATCGGTCGTGAGATGGCTCGTTTGATTTTGGTGGACAATTTGTGTATGCGACGTGTCAACGCCCGGCTTGTTCCGATTCACCTCAATTTGTTCAACATTATCAACGATTTTAAGGCCAAACATTCAATAAATACCATCGAACAGCCACCGTATTCACCTGATCTTGCACCGTGTGACTTTTTCCTGTTTCCCAACCTCAAATTACCACTCAGAGGAACGCGTTTTGAATCCATAGAAGACGTAAAACAGAATTCGCAGAGGGAACTCAAAGCCATACCGGAAAGCGCCTATAAAATATGTTTTGATGATTGGAAGAAACGTTGGCATTTGTGTATCGCTTCTAATGGAGCATATTTTGAAGGAGATAAAATAAATATTGATGAAGATTAAGAATTTTGCGTTTTATTTAGAGTTTCCGGAAGCTTTTCGGTCACAATGTACATTTAAAACACACTCTTAACGTTGATGAATACAAAACGTTCATGCACAGACAAAAAATAACATCAGATCACCTTTTTCATCAATCAAAAACTACATTAGATAATAAAATCCATAAACTTAAAGACAACATGTTTTCGTCCTTTGGTTTCACATTGAATGAAGATTGGTTTATTAACTATACCGATGTAATTTTTCCTAAAGAAAGCCGTTGGTTATTATCTTTGGGAAAAAAATTTGCTCTACCGGTGAATAAAAATAATTTCTCAAAACTACATTTCATAGCAGACGTAGAACAAGGCATTCAAAACATGAAAAATGAAAAATTGAAGGAACTCACTAGAACCAAAACAGCTCATAATTTAATAAATTTTAATCATCAACATAAAAACAACAATAGAGAAAAATTCATTCTAAAAGCATATGATAACACTCAAAAAATAGTGAACAAATACAAAAATGATATTGTCATTATGGAATCGGATAAAGGTCAAAAAACAGTAGTTATGTACAAACGTGATTATTTGCATAAAATGACATCATTACTAGATGACAGAAACACGTATAAAACATTACGCACAGATCCAACTAATAAATTGATAACTACTAATAACAACATTATAACAGATCTTTACAAACAGAAACTAATAACAATACAGCAAAAAAAACAACTGCTATGTAGTACAGCTAACGCTCCTAGACTATATGGATTACCCAAAATTCATAAGTCTAATGTACCCCTCAGACCAATAGCGGACTCCACAATGGTTCCTTGTTATAAACTGTCAAAATATGTTGGAAAAGAAATTCTAAAACCACTTATATCGTCAGATTACAATATCAAAAATTCCAGTGAATTACTTGAGAAATTAAAACACATTAAATTGGAAGACAACGAAATATTAATTTCATTTGACGTAATTTCATTGTTTACAAATATACCTACAAACCTGGCTACAAAAATCATCTTAGAAAAATGGGATATTATTAAGAATACAACTAACATCTCCAAGGCCAAATTTTCGAGAATTCTTGACTTTTGTCTTAAAGACAATAATTACCTCATTTTTGACGATCAGATATACCAACAGGTGTTTGGTATGCCTATGGGAAATCCATTATCTCCTACTATCGCGGATATAGTACTTGATTAGCTACTTGACGAAGCCATAGCTGAACTCAAGACTATGGGCATAACTTTTAAATTTATTACCAAATATGTTGATGACATATTTGCGGTTATCAAAAAATCTGACAAGGAAATTATTCTGACAACATTAAATAATTTTCACCCAAAAATCAAGTTTACATATGAAGAGGAACTGGACCATAAACTTCCATATCTCGACATTGAAATTATTAAACGAGATAATAATTTAATTTTCAATTGGTACAGTAAAGACATATCTTCAGGACGACTTATCAATTTTCACTCTTCACAACCTATGAGCCAAAAACTAGGTACTGTGAAGAATTTCATCAAAAAGGTATTAGATAGTAGTGACCAAATGTTTAAACAACAAAATATTGACAAAATTTACAAGACTCTATTGAATAATAATTATCCATACAGACTAATTAACAATTTAATCAAACAACAGAACATAAGTTACAATAAAAATATTCAAAATAGCAATAACCAAATTCCAAAACAATATTTTTCGTTACCATATGTACCGAAACTATCTAATAATAGAAATTTGACCACAAATCTTAAACAAGACAACATTTTTTGTGCTTATAAACCCAATCAAACTATCCATAAAATTTTCTCTAACAACAAAAACAAAATTAATAAGCTGCAACAAAATAATGTAGTATATCAAATAAATTGCAACGGAAATAAAGAAGGGAGTTGCAAAGAGATTTATATTGGTACAACAAAGAGATCACTCAACACTAGAATAGCTGAGCATATGTCGGACATCAACAAGAACAAAAACAATACAGCTCTATCTCAGCATTGCACCGAGAGACAACATAAACCGGATTTCGACAATGTAGTAATATTGGACAAAGAGAAATCTTGGAAAAAACGGTACACTCTCGAAAGCTTAAGAATTCAAGAGAAAATTAACTTAACTATGAACATCAAAGAAGATACGGAGAATATAAGCTCTAATTACATTGCTGCTCTAATATAAACAAAATCGAAAGTGGCGGTAACTTGAAGCAGTTGACTATATTTCTATAATTCTATAAAACTTTTAATATTTATTCCTAACTTTTAATTTTTTATTTACAAAAAGTGATTTAACTTAATTTCAATTCTAACTATTGGTAATTATTATTATTTAACAATTCTAAAATCCTAAATGGACAATTATTACTTTTGATTGTTTTGTTATTATTGTTGTTGTTAGTTATTTTGTGTACATGTTTCTCTGTTTATACAATATCACAAATTATATTATAGATATAATTTCACATTGTGTTTTGAAATCATAATTATTAAATAAAAAATATTTTAGATACCCCTGAAGATGTTGGAAAATAACCAACGAAACGTCGGGTGAAAAATGAAATAAATTGAGTTTTATTTGCATCCTAATAATAAGACCAGAGTAGCCTAAAGAAAAAATTTTAACTAAAAATTGAAATGTTACTATTTTCTTTGCTTTTATGAAAATGTTCGAAAATGATAACTTTAACTTTGCTACTTTGCAATTTTACCAATAAATTCCTCGTTTTTATTTTAGGATGAGGCTCATAAGAAAGCTGCTTCAACATATTTGGTCGAGAGTACGGATATGCCGCCGCCACGGTACCAAAAGGATGGCACCTTGCCAGTTATATATCCAAACAACATGGGTGAGTAGCAAGGAATTAAATTGCATCTAGAACTACGACTTTTGCATTTTTTATGTTTAATGTATTTGGAATTAGTTAACCCAAATAATATCAAAACGCTACTAAAGGCGTAGTGCAAGCAACTCAAATCTTAGAACACAAACACAAACGCAAAGCTGCAAGCAACTGCAAGCACAAATGGAGAATACTCACAATCTGAATTTATTGCTGCCAATTCTTGGCAATTCTTGCTTTCCGACCCGAGTTGAAAAAGCGATTTTATTTATTTCAAAATTTTCCTAGGCAGTCAACAGTTTTATGCTCAGTTGCCTTGTAGTTTGCTCAATGCTTATGAATTTGCATTTATGTGTACTACTGATGTGATAATCACAGTTTGTTGAACTAAATTTCATGTGCATTGTTTAAATGAAATTCTGAAATTTACACTTTGTGCTGCTGACTTTATCTGCTTATAATACTACATAAATTTACGCAATTTGTACTGGATGCCCTTGTATTTGCTTCATGTTTGTTAATCGAAAATCAGCAAGCGTTAGGTCTTTGATATGGCTTATTGATCTCTTCTCAATTCAGCAAGTTATTAAAATTCTTTAGGATTGAGTATCTTAAAAAGACTCACAAGCCTTACTGAATTTGTTTGGAATAAAATTTGTTTGTAATAAATCTACATTAATTAATTGTTTTTAATATTATTGTGTGTTCGTTCCGTAATCCTCATTTTAAGAAAAACATAGTTAATATTTTCATGATTAATTTAGTCCGTATCCTGCTATTGGACTATTTATAGATTTGATTTTACGTTATAATTTACCTATCAGATATCTATGATTACTGAAAGAAGTTCCAAATTTTTCGAATACATATTTTTTTTCGCGTTTCTTAATGTAAATTTTAACCTTCATAAAAAATATTTTTGATTTTTCTTTAAACTTATATGGATAAACTCGTATATAGGTCTATTAACAACAAACACTCATACTGCATTAATATTTCTACATAGATCCTGGTGTCGTCAACTAAATATTTATATGTATCGATTGGATCCAAATATGCTGCGTGGTGCACTCCAATTTACAAACATTTTCGCTATCGTTTTCATCCATATGAGGGTAGTTAACGCTATTTGGTTTACTTTGGTTTAGAGGGGATTTATGGAGTATTTAAGCTTACAGTAAAGCTATCTTTACATAACCGTATATAACTGACCACTTCGCATTTTTTTAAAAATTGAAACATGGTTTCAACTTACAGGAAATTAGTTCTGATTATTTTTAATTTTTCCATTTTATTTGCGCCTCCTCTGACGCCTTAACCAAATTTGTGACTGAATAAAAATTTGTGTAATAAATATTGAAAAATAAAAGGTAATACTTGGTTCATTCAATTTAATTGACTTAAATTATCCTAAAATTACTAGGTTATTTGATTGAAATAAGTAGAAAGGATCTTTCTGAAGGTTGCAGCAGTTCCATTACAAAAGAGTATGGGTGGGAGTGATGGCCAGATGTATGGGACATGTTAAACCTTTCCACCTTTCCACTTCGTGCCTCATAAGGAACAACCTAAGATGAATTTTTTATGATACGAAGAAATTTTGATTGAATACTTATAGAGTTAAAGTTTCTTCATTAAACTCAGCTATTAAGTTTTTATTAACTGTTTGAAAGATAGAAACAAAATACCACGTAGAGGGTCAATTGTCGCTTTTATTATTCTGCGAAACCAATTTGTTGGTTTGGAACAATTTCTTATTATGAATGATATGACTTATTGGTCTATATGACTTAACTGCATATGAACCAATCAGGATTCTTCTGATTTGGTGATCGTTATAATCTGAAACGTTTCTCTTCACATTGGTTTATCAAATTCTAGGTAACGTAACATATATATCGACTTCTTTATCGCAAACGACAAATCAACAACCCTGTTTTTCTTATACAGAATAGTTAAAATATAATGCAAAGCCTTCACGTTATGTTTATGTTAAAAAACCAACATAATCTGCAGATATAGATGCTGCTATGGAGAAAACATTTTATGGAGAAAACATATAAAAAGCAATGTAGGAAGGATGAAACATTTAATTTAGTCAACATTGCAATGTTTGAAGCAACTGCTATAGTCAGCATTAGTCTCCAAATGAATTTTTGAATACATAATTCTTAAAGTTAATTATTTTCGCCGAAAATAGCGCTTCTTATGACGACAAGGAAAAATTTAATTAATTTAATTAAAAATTTAATTAATTTATTGCATTTTGGTTGACCATACAACGCTGTTTCGTATATTGCCAAGTAGTCATCATCAGTGGTCTTAGGAATTACTCGAATTTATTTTTAATTAGTTTATATATATATATATATATATTTTATCCATTAACTTCTAGGTGGAGCGTAGGGATGCAAAAAAAATATCTTCCACTCGGTACGATTGGTGGCCAATAGCTTGACTTCTCCCCAGCTTTTCCGCATTTGTAACATTTCCATGTCGATTTGCCTTCTCCAGGTGTGAGCAGGTCTGCCGCTTCTTCTGCTACCCATCGGGTTCCACTCAATCGCCATTCTTGTGGTGTCACCAGTCGGTCTACGCATAGTGTGGCCGACCCATTCCCATTTGCGTTTTTTGATTTCGTTTCTTATAGGAGTTTGTTGAGTTAAAAACCACAGACGTTTATTTGAAATTGTATTTAGTTAGAATACTTTAACGATTTTGCGTAATGATTGATTTATGAAAACTTGTAGTGCATTGATTTAGTTTATAGTCCGTACATAATTTGTTTGGACTGCAACTGTCGGGCTTACCACACACAATTCTTATAATGAAAATCTACTAGATCCGAAATTGATATCTAATAAAAATATTGTTTAACGTGTTTGTTGCAACGTAGCGTGATCAATCTTTAGATTTAGTTATTCTACAAACTTAATTATATTGGCTGACTTAAAAGGAATCATTTTTCTTTACTATATACGCTTTTTCTCAAAGACAAGAATAAATATTAATTTTTTTAGTCATAAGTGTATACTATGAATTTTGCATAAAACGAAACATATAAATGTAAGAAAAGGATTTGTAAATAAGTCTCTACAAAACAGGATTTAAGTTGGTAGGAGTACGATACCAAGTGAGTCCTACCTACTCCTACATTGCAAAGACAAATATTCAAAAATGATAACAAAAAGAATCCGAAAACAAAATGTGAGCACATCTTAGCTGAATTTTGATGAAATAACTGTAAAAGAAGGTTTCTTAATGGCAACGAAATCACATCGATGAAGGAAGAATATAAATAGGGGGTATGAAGAAATACGGAAGCAGCAAAGGATGTGCTAATAATTCATAAAATATAAAATAGAAGAACACGCTAATTGAAGTTCACCCATGAATTTTCAAGTAAAATACACGTATAAAAAAAATGCTTCCAACTCTGTGAAAGGGGAAGAGCAGAACAAATACTCATTTGTATGCGAATTTGAAGTGAATAAATAATGACGTAAGAAAAAGAAAAACTTGTGTAAAATAGAAAAGCAATCAAAAAAACCGTGCACGTACCATCTATAGTTTTCAAGAACATTTTATAATATATGCGAATAAAGAAATATGTATAGTCAAACAATGATTGGTTTTGTATGGGTTCTATTCTCAAACTAAACAGATATTTTACTATCTATGGGTAAAAAATTTCATTTATCTTAATTTAATTACTATATTTTTAATTGAACTTACGCTTTAAAACGATCTTCAGTTTAAATATACACAAGAATTGCATTAAAAAATAATTTATGGAACTAAAATTGAGTCGAAACAAAAGTTTGTTGTTTTTAATCCTTATTCTAGCTGTCAAATGGAACACATTTATACAGAAGGACTTCAATTTTATTTCGCTTGGTACTTTTATACTGACACCGGCTTAGAAAATCGCAAACAATAAAAAAAAGTACATATATATAGTATAGCAACAGCAAGTAATTGACAGTCCCGGTTTAGTTCATAGCAACTTACGTCGCATTCTATAGGACCTGTCAGCAATAAGGCAAACAGATGCAACAGCAACTAAAAGTCAGATATTACGAGTTGGCAACACTAACACAACAGCAGCAGCAAACAGTGTTGCCCTAACCTTTGCCAAGCATGAAAAAAGCAAACACTGGCGCGATATGTGGCAACTAAACACGCCAAGGGACGCAGTAATCGGTAAGCAGCAGAAACAAATTGCTATACATGGATTGCAATTCGTTACTCGCACAATTGCTGTTGCATATTACTACTGAGGACTTCTACAAATAATAAAAACCCAAACGTGCAGCAAATAATGACGAGGAAATAAGAAAATAAGAACAAAATTGAATTTGAACATTGAATAAACATTTGAGGCAGTGCAGAAAAAATTGCCAACGAAACGAAACACTCTTTCAGTAAAAAACTGTTGAAGTCGAAAACTGAAAGTGGATGACAAACGATGTTTACTTGTTAGGCAGTCGTAATGGCAGCTGCACTAACAGCAGCAGCAACGACAACAACTGATGTCGGGCGGGACAGTCAAATTATGTTGCATGCCAAAAGCGAAAAAATCCTGAAAAAATTGCGAAAATATTTTTAGATTTGCTGTTGGAGCAATTGTGCATAAAAAGGATGCAAAGCAGAGCAAAGTAAAGCAAACACAACAAATGCGGCAAATGTTGCAACAGGAAAAACTCTCTACATGCTGCACATGTTGTTGATGTGTTTACGGCGCAAATTAAATATGTTGCAGCAATTTTTTCTTACGCTATATTTGCAGATTGCATTTATAAAAATTTGAATATCCTTAAGTGACATGAAGGCCTTGAAAAACGAGTCAGAATTATGACGTGAACTCTTACAAAACAAATAAATAATATTTGCCATCGTTTCATTTTTAATTGCGAATTTTTGAAGTATAGAAAAACGAACCAGAATATGTAAACAGAGGCCAGTTTATTTGTTCTGACAAAATTTCTACTCTATAAATATTCAGC